GATCTGGAGGGCATTTCCCAGACCCACTGATCCAATGTTATGTGGGCCTGCACTTAGGAAATGGGATAAGTGATTTGTAAACAAAAGGTGGGAAACAGCTGGAACTACAATAACTGGTACACTGTCCTTGATCAACACATCAAAATGTCTGTTTAGACAAGGTGGCTGGATGGGATGAGCCTACTGATGCTGAAGAGGAGGGTGACGGATATAATCTCCTATAACTCCTGCCCTTTCTCCTCAGTGGATCTTGAGATTGGGGAGGAAAGCCTTGGTGTCTGTATGGCTGATGAGGATGGAACTGTTTCCTCTTTGTCACAGGAGTATAGATTCCAAGAGATTTTAATGTCACTCTTGAATTTTTTATAGCTATGGAGCTTATTGTCCATCTTATCAGAAAACAAAGAGGGACCTTTGAAAGGGAGGTTCTGGATGGTCTGCTGGACTTCTGTAGGCAGCCCACATGACTGTAACCATGAACATCTTCTCACAGAAATAACTGATGCCATGGTTTGAGCCACCACATCTGCTCCATCCAAACTGCCAGAATTGCTCTCCAGGACAATCAGCTTGCCTTCATCCACAATTACTGTGAATACCTGCTTACAGTTATCTGGTAGCTTATTTTTAAATTTTATAATTTTCTCCCAAAGGGTGAAGTCATAGCAGCTCAGTAGTGCCTGTAGGTTTTCAATCCTAAACTTCAGACTCCCTATAGAATAAAGTTTGAGTCTAAACAGTAGTCTGTTCACCTCTTTGCTTTTCAGCATTGATGTTTGATGTCCTTGTCTCTCCTGTTTGTTAGCAGCTGCCACCACCAAGAGGCAGCTGCTAACGAACAGGAAGAGGGTGAGAGGACAAATACTCATGGCCCTTTCAAGGGACATAATACCTCCTTTAAACTCACTTTGCTGTGGGAGGTAAGGAGAATGGTGTCTGCCACAGCGCCCTGACCAGCTCCAAAGTGGCTTCATTAATCAGCAGAGCCACCCTGGCAGGGGCTGTCGATTCCAGAATTTCCACCAATTTGTGTGAGCTTTCACACATCTCTTCTGCCTGAATGTCAAGAACAGAAGCCACTCTTCTCAACAGATCTTGATGAGCCGTTGGGTGGTAGTGACTCGCTTGTTGCCTCAACAGCCTCATCTGGAGATGAAGAAGAGGATACCACAAGATTCTGAGTTGGTGGCTACTCCATGACTTGTGGTGGGGAAGCCGCTTGAGTAAATTCTGAAAGCTCGGTACCGATCTTGGTACTGGGAACCAGATAATGATGCTCTTGCTGCCAACATCCCCATAGCAGTGTTGATGACAAAGAATGAGAAAGTTACAGGGAGGTCCAAGCCAGAGGAGGGATGCCCCACAGTGTCCAGAATAGACTCTCATATGGGACTCAGTCCCAACTTTGACCAGCCCATCACCCTTAAGAGGATGAGGCCAGTGCTTGACTGTTGCGTAATCTGCAGTCCTCAACTCTAAGATGGACAATATGCCCTCTGTCTTGGATGGGACACAGAGGAATGCACCTCTAAGTGCAAAGAGGAAGAATCTGAAATGTCTGACATTAGGGGGTCAGAAACAGTTGGGACTGGGGATAGGTAGCCTGAGCCTGAGCATGGTAGTACTGGAGATATCATTGGAGGCTTGCCCTTTGACTGCAGTAGCCTTTGTGGAAACTTGGAAGGTAATGGTACTGTGAGTTCCTGACATGGAGAGGTAGGTGCTGCAAGCATCAGTACCGACTGTAAACCTTCTTGTACTACTGGGGATGGTGGTACTGAGAGGCTAAGCTGATCCCTTGGGGATGCATACGACTCTGGGGTGGTTGGGAGAGGCAATCACTGATAGTCTGCCACAGAGATCTTTCAGGAGATGCCCTCAACAGACCTGGAACAGGCTCTGAAGGTGGCAATCCCTTCTTCTTAGCTGAAGACTGCTCCAACATATCTTAGAGTCTCCCTCCTGAATGTCTTAGAGTCTCTGCCTCTACTAGGCTTCGGCACCGACATGCCCAATTGAGGTACTGAGCCTGAGAAGCGTCTAAGCCTTTTCTTTGACATCACTGAATGGGACTGAGGAGTTGCGGACATCTCTACTGCAATGTGTACTAAGGCTGATGTACTTGGGGCACTCTTTGCATGAAACAAGTCCTATAGGGGACAAAGTGCTGCCTCCATGAGCAAACATTTGAGCCTTGCCACTCTATCTTTCTTTGAGTGGGGCTTAAATCCCTTACAAACCTTGACATTTGTCACATATGTAGGATTCTGCCAAACATTTCAAATGGCTGGGTGTGGGTCACTGATCAGCACAGGCTTAGCATATGTGCGGCAGAACTTAAAACCTGGTGAGTGTGGCATCATTTTGGTATCAATACCAAAAGATGAAAACTAGTCCAAAAAGACCTAAGACTAAAATCTGTTGCTAAAACTAGCTAAAACTAACTTAAACTTAACTAACTACCTCCTAACAATAACAAGGTATATATGCAAAGGAATGAGGGAAGCTTATGCCAACAAGTCTGAGATCACTCCGACAACTGTCACTGGCAGTATGAAAGTACTGGGGAGGGGTGGGGGGGGAGTCAGGGCAGCTCTGTCCCCTTATACCAGTATGCCGTGGCCACCCCAGCGAGTACCACTGAGGGAAAAAACTTGTCTGACAACTGCACAAGGTACACACAAACCTACAGTGGAACGGACATGTGCAAGCATGTGAAAAAGAAACTTCTGCCACGTATTTCAGTAGGATGAGGATTTGGTCCCCAGACACCAGTGCAGGGGGGTCAAATGTTTTTAACTGACATAGGCCACACAGAGGCTTAGAGGACACCTTAACATTCTTCTAAATTTAGTGAAATCTAATCCTAAGGGTCAAATTCTGGACGTGATCGTTCCCCTCTATTCGACATTGGTGAGGCCTCATCTGGAGTACTGTGTCCAGTTTTGGGCCCCACACTAAAAGAAGGATGTGGATAAATTGAGTCCAGCGAAGGGCAACAAAAATGATTAGGGGTCTAGAACACATGACTTATGAGGAGAGGCTGAGGGAGCTGGGATTGTTTAGCCTGCAGAAGAGAAGAATGAGGGGGGATTTGATAGCTGCTTTCAACTACCTGAAAGCAGGTTGCAAAGAGGATGGATCTAGATTGTTCTCAGTGGTAGCAGATGACAGAACAAGGAGTAATGGTCTCAAGTTGCAGTGGGGGAGGTTTAGGTTGGATATTAGGAAAAACTTTTTCACTAAGAGGGTGGTGAAACACTGGAATGCGTTACCTAGGGAGGTGGTAGAATCTCCTTCCTTAGAGGTTTTTAAGGTCAGGCTTGACAAAGCCCTGGCTGGGATGATTTAACTGGGAATTGGTCCTGCTTCGAGCCGGGGGTTGGACTAGATGACCTTCAGGGGTCCCTTCCAACCCTGATATTCTATGATTCTATGATATGCACACACCATAAACCAGAACAAAAACCTACCCTCTAGCTCTGGTACACAGTGGAGGATGGCTGCCACTATGATGGCCCTTCTGAGAACTCCCCCATGCTTCACTGAAACTTCACTTGTGGAGGACCTAAAGTACAGCTCTCAAGCCTTGGCTACATGAGAAAGTTTGCACTACCCTACCTTAAGGTGTGATGCTAAATCAATCCAAAGGGCTGTACTGACATTTTTATATCAGTTTAAACCAAGTTTATTTCATTATACATTAAGTCAATTAGGAATCAATTTAAGTTAAACCAAAATAAGTCACTGGCAAAATTAAATAAGAGTGACTGTCCACTAGCTTTTTGTACCAGTTTAACTACATCAATTTAAAATCACATCTTAAGCTAAACTAGCACAACTTTCTTAGGTAGACAGGGCCTGAGAGGCACTCTCTGTGGCTCTCGACCTGCAGTATCAAAGTGAATGGAAATTTTGCCATTGGCTTCAATGGGATCAAGCCCTAGGTCCCCCACAACCCCTTCTTGTCAACTGTTGAGAATAGCCCACTTCCACCTTAATTGAATTGGCTCGTTAGCACGGACCCCCCACTTGGTAAGGCAACTCCCATCTTTTCATATGCTGTGTATTTATACCTCCCTACTGTATGTTCCACTCCATGCATCTGATGAAGTGGGTTTTAGCCCATGAAAGCTTATGCCCAAATAAATTTGTTAGTCTCTCAGATAGGGCTGTAACTACTGTGACTATTACTTTTGAAGCATGTATGCACACTCATTTAAGCCAATTTTCCTGCAGTAGCTAGCATGTAGCCCAGTCTATTTACTTAATAAATACCACAGAGTATCTACAGTACATGGCACAATAAAATAGTGAAACTCATCAAAATTAACTAGATTTTGTTAATTTGGTTTTCACTACCTTTAACCAGAGTGATTTTATTCACTATGAGGAATTTTATTTGTAACAATTCCAGTAGCAAGATAAAGTTTTCCATTTATGCTAAGAAAATGTTATTATCCCCTTGATGGAAGAGTGATCTATGCCTTTTATCTGTATCACCTCTTAAAAGGATCCAAAGTTATGGGTGTAAGAAGTTTAATACTCTAACATATCTGGTAGAGGAGACAAGATATGAAGGCACAAATGGTGTCATCCTAACATAAAGCTTCAGTAAAAGGACCTTGCACAGAAAATCTATGGGGAAAGCCGTCCTCTTTTGGAATACTGCAGCAAGGTGTAGGACACCTATGTTGTTGGGGGTTGTTTATACCATGTTCTGTGATGGGGGGCATAGCCCCTGCGTGTCCTCTGCAGGGATTCTGACTGGTGGACTCTCAGAGCTGGTTTACTCACTGGATATACCCCACACTTCCTCTGCAGACCCCAACATCCCTATTAACAGGTTCACTCATAGAGAAAGCCATCATGAGCCTTACTGATTTGTCCCAATCATATCATGTTTATCTAAATGTTTTATATATCTATTTTAGTTATTGTTTCATCTCACAAATAGTGCCCATTCCTCTCCTCCCCCAACAAAAAAAGACTATACAAACCACTAGTGATGCTCCGTAATAATGCGAAACAAATCTCAGTGTCTTGCACATTATTTTCCTCATCTCAGAGTCAAACTCCTGAAGAAGTACATATAAAAAACATTTTTACACTGAGAATATTATTTTTTTTAATATAAACTGCATTAGATGGTTATGCTACAATGAAGGCGTTTAGCTATCACTTTTTATTTTTAAGTGAAAAGTTGTATAATATAATTATCTCTCAATACAGAATTCAATAACCATCTATTGTGACTTAAAAGAGTAGTTACAATTTTTATTTTTCTATAGAGGACTCCTATTACAGGCAATCTGTTACTCCAGGCTCAAGCTTAATTATTGCCTGAAGGAGCCTCTTAACTGGGGATGTGTATTCAATTTCCAATGAGTCATTGTTCTCTCCTGCTTTAAAATTTAAAAAGTAACAACATTGCCGTACTATAAGGTAATCTTCTCTTTTTACGTCACAATATTTGACTGTCTTTGGACCTATGGCTGTATACCCTCTAAACTCCACCAGTCATACCAATTAAGGTGTGTGCATACAAATACACACACACACACACACACACACCCCTTTTAATCAGTAACTGTGCCTGTTCAGTATATGTACAAGATCATATAATGACCTTTCTTGGAAAAACTGTGGGTAACATCCTGGACTTCAAAGGGACCAGGATTTCATCCTGTGTCTATTATGTTCTGAATCATTTACTGAGTCAAGAAAATCATGATTTTTTTTTAATAAAGCAAAACCTGGGTATGAAAGAATGCATAGTACACTGCTAGTAAGAATTAAAAAGCTCAAATAGTTGGTCACACAGCAGTATATTGTACTGCCAGCTAAAGGACTCAGTATGGAAGCTGTCACAATATGTCAGTCCAGGCCCAGGAGGATCAATTGCTTCATGAAAATGAACGGTGCATTTCTTGAATTTTTTTTTTTTTAATAACAGAGGGAACCAACTGCAATGCTCTTTGACATTGCTTATCAGTTAATTTACAGAGAGGCATTAGAAGATGTGACCACTCACTTACTTGTCCTTTGTAAATCAGATGATAAATGACTGCGTAAGCAAGTTTCAGAGTAGCAGCCGTGTTAGTCTGTATCCGCAAAAAGAAAAGAAGGACTTGTGGCACCTTAGAGACTAACAAATTTATTTGAGCATAAGCTTTCGTGAGCTACAGCTCACATCATCGGATGCATTCAGTGGAAAATACAGTGGGGAGATTTATATACGCAGAGAACATGAAACAATGGGTGTTACCATACACACTGTAAGGAGAGTGATCAGGTAAGGTGAGCTATTACCAGCAGGAGAGTTGCGGGGGGGGGGGGGGGGGACCTTTTGTAGTGATAATCAAGCTGGGCCATTTCCAGCAGTTGACAAGAACATCTGAGGAACAGCGGGGGGTGTTTGTCTCTGTCTCAGGGGTTGAAGCAAATGCGGTTGTATCGTAGAGCTTGGCTGTAGACAATGGATCGTGTGGTGTGGTCTGGATGAAAGCTGGAGGCATGTAGGTAGGCATAGCAGTCAGTATGTTTCCAGTATAGGGTGGTGTTTATGTGACCATCGCTTATTAGCACCGTAGCGTCCAGGAAGTGGATCTCTCGTGTGGACTGGTCTAGGCTGAGGTTGATGGTGGGATGAAAATTGTTGAAATCATCGTGGAATTCCTCAAGGGCTTTTTTTCCATGGGTCCAGATGATGAAGATGTCATCAGTGTAGTGCAAGTAGAGTGGGGGCATTAGGGGGAGAGAGCTGAGGAAGCGTTGTTCTAAGTCAGCCATAAAAATGTTGGCATACTGTGGGGCCATGCAGGTACCCATAGCAGTGCCGCTGATTTGAAGGTATACATTGTCCCCAAATGTGAAATAGTTATGGGTGAGGACAAAGTTACCAGGTTTGCCGTGACATTATTGGGGATACTGTTCCTGACGGCTTGTAGTCCATCTTTGTGTGGAATTTTGGTGTAGAGGGCTTCTACATCCATAGTGGTTAGGATGGTGTTTTCAGGAAGATCACCGATGGATTGTAGTTTCCTCAGGAAGTCAGTGGTGTCTCGAAGATAGCTGGGAGTGCTGGGAGTGTAGGGCCTGAGGAGGGAGTCTACATAGCCAGACAATCCTGCTGTCAGGGTGCCAATGCCTGAGATGATGTGGTGTCCAGGATTTCTAGGTTTATGGATCTTGGGTAGCAGATAGAATACCCCAGGTCGGGGTTCCAGGGGTGTGTCTGTGCGGATTTGTTTTTGTGCTTTTTCAGGGAGTTTCTTGAGCAAATAGTGTAGTTTCTTTTGGTAGCCCTCAGTGGGATCAGAGGGTAATGGCTTGTAGAAAGTGGTGTTGGAGAGCTGCCTAGCAGCCTCTTGTTCATATTCCGACCTATTCATGATGACGACAGCACCTCCTTTGTCAGCCTATTTGATTATGATGTCAGAGTTGTTTCTGAGGCTGTGGATCGCATTGTGTTCTGCATGGCTGAGGTTATGGGGCAAGTGATGCTGCTTTTCCACAATTTCAGCCCATGCACGACGGCGGAAGCACTCTATGTAGAAGTCCAGTCTGTTGTTTCGACCTTCAGGAGTCCACCCAGAATCCTTCTTTTTGTAGTGTTGGTAGGAAGGTCTCTGTGTGCCAGTATGTTGTTCAGAGGTGTGTTGGAAATATTCCTTGAGTCGGAGATGTCGAAAATAGGATTCTAGGTCACCACAGAACTGTATCATGTTCGTGGGGGTGGAGGGGCAGAAGGAGAGGCCCCGAGATAGGACACATTCTTCTGCTGGGCTAAGAGTACAGTTGGATAGATTAACAATATTGCTGGGTGGGTTAAGGGAACCACTTGTGGCCCCTTGTGGCATGTAGTAGTTTAGATAGTTTAGTGTCCTTTTTCTTTTGTAGAGAAGCAAAGTGTGTGTTGTAAATGGCTTGTCTAGTTTTCGTAAAGTCCAGCCACTGCATTTGCTCCAACCCCTCAGACAGAGACAAACACCTACAAGATCTCTATCAAGCATTCTTACAACTACAATACCGACTTGCTGAAGTGAAGAAACAGATTGACAGAGCCAGAAGAGTACCCGGAAGTTACCTACTACAGGACAGGCCCAACAAAGAAAATAACAGAATGCCACTAGCCATCACTTTAGCCCCCAACTAAAACCTCTCCAACGCATCATCAAGGATCTACAACCTATCCTGAAGGATGACATATCACTCTCACAGATCTTGGGAGACAGGCCAGTCCTTGCTTACAGACAGCCCCCCAACGGGAAGCAAATACTCACCAGCAACCACACACCACACAGCAGAACCACTAACCCAGGAGTCTATCCTTGCAACAAAGCCCGTTGCCAACTGTGTCCACATATCTACTCAGGAGACACCATCACAGGGCCTAATCACATCAGCCACACTATCAGAGGATCCTCCACCTGCACATCTACCAATATGATATATGCCATCATGTGCCAGCAATGCCCCTCTGCTATGTACACTGGACAGTCTCTATGTAAAAGAATAAATGGACACAAATCAGATGTCAAGAATTATAACATTCAAAAACCATTCAGAGAACACTTCAATCTCTTTGGTTACTTGATTACAGACCTAAAAGTGGCAATTCTTCAACAAAAAATCTTCAAAAACAGACTCCAATGAGAGACTGCTGAATTGGAATTAATTTGCAAACTGGAAACAATTAACTTAGGCTTGAATAAAGACTGGGAATGGATGGGTCATTACACAAAGTAAAGCTATTTCCCCATGTTTACGCCCCTCCCCCCCGCTGTTCCTCAGATGTTCTTGTCAACTGCTGGAAATGGCCCAGCTTGGTTATCACTACAAAAGGTCCCTCCCCCCCCCCCGCCACTCTCCGGCTGGTAATAGCTCACCTTACCTGATCACTCTCCTTACAGTGTGTATGGTAACACCCATTGTTTCATGTTCTCTGCGTATATAAATCTCCCCACTGTATTTTCCACTGAATGCATCCGATGATGTGAGCTGTAGTTCACAAAAGCTTATGCTCAAATAAATTTGTTAGTCTCTAAGGTGCCACAAGTCCTTCTTTTCTTTTTGTGTAAGCAAGTGTTTAAAACTAAAATTGCAGAATTAAGAAGAGAGCATAACTCATTTTGTTGCCTAGGCTGCCCCAGCTCCCCAAATCGGCGACCAACCTACCAGAGGGATCGTCTCTCTCCCTTGCCATACTGCCACAACTGCAGTCAGCATGGACACCAAAGCTGGATTTCCCTTATTATAAAAAAGAGGTTGTGTCAGACAGGGCATTCTTTGGGAGTACTCTGGAACTTGCTACCCTCCTTTGTCTGAAACAGATCAAATCTGGCGATCTTCCAGGCATGCGAGAAAAGATAAGTGTTTGCAAAGGTTTTTGGAGAAGGATGAGGGTATGCTTCCCATAATGATGAAGGGATGAAAAGGAGTTACTGTAGGTGGCTGAGTTCCTGTTCTAACGATCATTTTACTGGAATTTTATTGCATTATTAATCATGTGTTAGGGCTCATAGAGCTTTGGCTAGATGTCTTAATTATTTTTATACCTAAATAAATAAAACCAAATGGAAAAAAAAATATATATATATATAAAATATCACTTACATGAAAAATATCATATTTGCTTCCAATTATCACCAGAGGGATTGGAAAAGGGTCAATTAATTCATGATCCTGTTAAACAACATAATATATTTAGAACCTCAAACAAGTCACAAAAGCACAATAAAACAGCTAAACACCAGAAAACAGGATGAGAATGATTTTTAAAAGACATCAAAATCTTAGACACAAAAGTTTATGCAGTATAATTATTTTCTAATGCAATCGCTCCACAAATGTCCAGGAGGGGAAAAAAAACACCTCTTGAGGAAGGGAACTCCTTTCTGGCATAAACCTGGTGGAAATGGCTCCTGCACCAGACATTCCCACCCAACACAGAGGGCATGTAAATGGAAGGAAGGAAAGGAGTACGGTAGAGAGTATAAATTAGAGAAGCACCAGGGCTGGGCCAGCATGGGATCAAGGAGCCATAACTAATGTGGCCCCCTCAATACCAAGCAGAGTGCTGAATAGGGAAGAAATTAATTTTTTGGAGAGTGTTGGGGACAACTTCCTGGTGCAAGTGCTGGAGGAACCAGCTAGAGTCTGTGCTCCTCTTGACCTGCTGCTCACAAACAGGAAGAACTGGTAGGAGAAGTAGAAGTGGCTGGCAACCTGGGCAACAGTAACCATGAGATGGTCGAGTTCAGGATCCTGACAAAAGGAAAAAAGGAGAGCAGTAGAATACGGACCCTGGACTTCAGAAAAGCAGACCTTGACTCCCTCAGGGAACTGATAGGCAGGATCTCCTGGGAGGCTAATATGAGGGGGAGAGGAGTCCAGGAGAGCTGGCAGTATTTTAAAGAAGCCTTACTGAGGGCACAGAAACAAACCATCTGGATGTGCAGAAAGAATAGCAAATATGGCAGGCGACGAGCTTGGCTTAACAGAGAAATCTTCAGTGAGCTTAACACAAAAGGAAGCTTACAAGAAGTGGAAACTTGGACAGATGACTAGGGAGGAGTATAAAAATATTACTCAAGCATGCAGGGGTGTAATCAGGAAGGCCTAAGCACAATTGGAGTTGCTGCTAGTAAGGGATGTGAAGAGTAACAAGAAGGGTTTCTCCAGGTATGTTAGCAACAAGAAGGTGGTCAGGGAAAGCATGGGACCCTTAATGAATGGAGGAGGCAACCTAGTGACAGATGATGTGGAAAAAGCTGAAGTACTCAATGCTTTTTTTGCCTTGGTCTTCACTGAGAAGGTCAGCTCCCAGACTGCTGCACTGGGCAGCACAGTATGGGGAGGAGGTGAGCAGCCCTCAGTGGTGAAAGAACAGGTTAAGGACTATTTAGAAAAGCTGGACATGCACCAGTCCAAGGGGCCGAATCTAATGCATTCAAGGGTGCTGAAGGAGTTGGCTGATCTGAGTGAAGAGCCATTGGCCATTATCTTTGAAAACTCCTGGCGATCGGGGGAGGTCCCGTACGATTGGAAAAGGGCACTATATTTGCCTATTTTTTTTTTAAAAAAAAGGAAGGAGAATCTGGGGAACTACAGACCGGTCAACTTCACCTCGGTCCCTGGAAAAATCATGAAGCAGGACCTCAAGGAATCCATTTGAAGCACTTGGAGGAGAGGAAGGTGATCAGGGTCAGTCAACATGGATTTACCAAGGGCAAGTCATGCCTGACCAACCTGATTGCCTTCTATGGTGAGATAACTGACTCTGTGGATATGGGGAAAGTGGTGGATGTGATATACGTTAACTTTAGCAAAGCTTTTGATATGGTCTCCCACAGTATTCTTGACAGCAAGTTAAAGAAGTATGGATTGGATGAATGGACTACAAGGTGGATAGAAAGCTGGCTAGATCACCGGGCTCACCGGGTAGGGATCGATGTCTAGTTGGCAGCCGGTATCAAGCGGAGTGCCCCAGGAGTTGGTCCAGGGCTGGTTTTGATCAACATCTTCATTAATGATCTGGATGATGGGATGGATTGCACTCTCAGCAAGTTCGTGGATGACACTAAACTGGGGGAGAGGTAGATATGCTGGAGGGTAGGAATAGGGTCCAGAGTGACCTAGACAAATTGGAGGATTGGGCCAAAAGAAATCTGATAAGGGGGAGGGATAGCTCAGTGGTTTGAGCATTGGCCTGCTAAACCCAGGGTTGTGAGTTCAACCCTTGAGGGGGCCATTTAGGGATCTGGGGCAAAAATTGGGGATTGGTCCTGCTTTGATCAGGGGGTTGGACTAGATGACCTCCCAAGGTCCCTTCCAACCCTGATATTCTATGAACAAAGACAAGTGCAGAGTCCTGCACTTAGGACAGAAGAATCCCAGGCACTGGTACAGGCTGAGGACCAACTGGCTAAGCAGCAGTTCTGCAGAGGAGGACCTGGGGATTACCGTGGACGAGAAGCTGGATATGAGTCAACTGTTGCCCTCGTTGCCAAGAAGGCTAACGGCATATTGGGCTGCATTAGTAGGAGCATTGCCAGCAGATCGAGGAAAGTGATTATTCCCCTCTGTTCGGCACTGTTGAGGCCACATCTGGAGTATTGCATGCAGTTTTGGGACCCCCACTATAGAAAGAATGTGGACAAACTGGAGAGAGACCCAGCGAAGGGCAACGAAAATGATCAGGGGCTGGGGCACATGACTTATGAGGAGAGGCTGAGGGAACTGGGCTTATTTAGTCTGCAGAAGAGAAGAGTGAGTGGGGATTTGATAGCAGCCTTCAACTACCTGAAGGGGGGTTCCAAAGAGAGGATGGATCTAGACTGTTTTCAGTGGTGGCAGATGACAGAACAAGGAGTAATGGTCTCAAGTTGCAGTGGGGGAGGTTTAGGTTGTATATTAGGAAAAACTTTTTCACTATGAGGGTGGTGAAGTACTTGAATGGGAGGTGGTGGAATCCCCTTCCTTAGATGTTTTTAAGGTCAGGCTTGACAAAGCCCTGGCTGGGATGATTAGGTGGGGATTGGTCCTGCTTTGAGCAGGGGCTTGGACTAGATGACCTCCTGAGGTCTCTTCCAGCCGTAACCTTTTATGATTCACTGAAGCTAACAGAAGGGCTTATCTAGGATCCTGATGAAGGTCAAGTGTATGATGTACAGTATACTTTTTGAAAAAACTTGAGATTTAAAAATGTGAAATTTAAAAATCTGAAATATAAACAGAAACCTAGCTAAGAGGTGCATATATTATTTATTTGACATTTTTTCAGAAAATTATTAACATGCAAGTACTATGTGCTCAATAAAATAGGATTAAGTAGACGGCTTAGGGGATGAGTAACAGGCTAAGTAGTTTTATACCTGTAGGTAATTGGCTTACATCAGGTCCAGGTTGGTAGTTACTTAAAGCTATTACCATCTGACAAAACTTCAGTGATCTATGTTAAATGAGATGGTCAGTTTCTAGTGGACAGATGGCTGCATCACAGCTGGCTGAAACTGGCATGGCAACCTTCTTGGCCTTTCCAACTTACTGAATAAGGAAAAAATGATCCTAAAGAGTGAACTAACTTCTCTGCTTTAGTGAAGGTTCCTCCAACTAAGGGTTAAGGCAAAGTATCAGTGTATTAGGGGAAAACTTGAACTGTTGCCTATCCAGTACTTTGTGGGGGAAAATAGAGGGTACTTCGTTCATTAGCTTTGTCAAGCCAACACATTTCGCTAGGCTTTACATTTACTTAAAATTTGATGTGTGAACCCCAGGGGTTGGGGAAGCATTACAGTTTCCTTAATTAGAAGAGAAACTAAAAATTAATTCAGGACAACAAATTACATACAGGGACTAGTGCTCTTGAACTCTACTTGTCTGATTTTCCTCACTGCCACCAAGAAAGTACTTAATGCATACCCCTCAGCCTTTTTATTTTTAAGAGATTCTCCCGATGCATTCATGCTCTCCCATTCCCACTCTAAAACTCCTTGTTCAATCCTGTTCCTTCCAGTGAAATGCCCATGATCATTCCCCCAGTAGAAACCCTATATGAACCCAATCTCTAATCTGCCCTGTGCTTCCTCCATTCTAGGAGACAAACCTTGTTTACCCCACAAACAAGTCTGCTTTTGAATTGAGTTGATATACATTTGAAAAATAATAGTTGTATGTGAAGTGATTAGTAAGATGTTTGCCCTACTTTCTGTATTCAGGGGTTTAATTAATACACTAGTTTAGCATGTGTGATCATGTCCCCTTTAGAGGCCGGCCTCCACAAGGATAAAAAGCCTGTTTCTTACTGACAACTGATGCAGTTATTACCATTTGAGCTAAAGGACGAGTCTGTGCTTTTAAGGTGTTGAAAAAACCTGCATTCTAACATCTCTGGCAACTGGGGCATCAGTATGTTTGTGATCATGGGTTGTAGCCAGCTGCATTTTAAATGTAATATGTTATTTTCAGAAACTACCTTTTCTAAAAAAGTTGAATATCAACCTTGGAAGTCCTTAAGAAAGTCATATTATTGAATCTAATCCTGCAAACCTTTACAAACATTGAGGTGAATGGGATTGCTCACATGAGTAAGGGCTACAGTATTGGGACCATACACTGTAAACAAAGCTGCTAAGCATTGTATGCATTTGCTTTCTTACTTAATATATCTTTGCTTTTCACTTTTTGGAGCCTTATTAGCATTTTCTTTATCATATTGTGTTACATAAATTACTGTAGCAGAATTTATATTCAGAGTCTGAACTGTAGAATATTTGTTTAGGAATTGCATACACATAACATTTGTACAACTTGAATGCACGTTGTATACACATACACGTTTTCGGCTGTATTTCCCACAATCTATTTTAGCTTCTTCAAGAGATTACATTAGCAATTGCATTTAAGGGTCTGGTGTTAACATCTCTGAAACTTTATAATTTAATTAGTTGTCAGATTATCAAAAGGCACTGAGTTTGTGATAGACACTTGAATAAATGCAAAGTATATAGTCGTGTTGAAGGCTGTTATAACTATACTCTGCTTAAATTTGTACCTTCATCTAGTCTCTTGCCAGATGACTTCTTCTGTACATTCTAGTTTTCATCTTCATTTTAAAAAAAAGATAATAAAATCAATATCAAACTGCTACTCTAAAACTCTGTTTCTTGTGATTGGTGTAACATGCCATAACAATCACATTAGATGTCTATGAAGAAGATATAAGAAACTGTCTTTCCTTGTTTCTGCTCTTACTGAATTTTTATTAAAATTGCTATAATTTTCCAGTGAACAGGTTCATCTACATAAAATGGATATTCAGTCATGCATAAAAATCTAAAAGAGTTATTTATGATTTTCACAAGTATTATCCTTAACTATATAAAGGCCGATGACATCTGCAGAAAATACTAGAAGATTCTTACTGGGTGATCCTTCGGCATATTGTTCCACATCCTCTGTTTAATTTCAGTAGCTACTTTAGGATTTGTCTTTCCCAGTTTAGTTATAATTTTATCCACATGGTTCCTGGTGACCTGTAGGAGACTGTCCATGGTTGGCCACAGTTCATTAGGTTTGGAAAGGTCCAAAACAAGAATTATAGCAAAAGTCCTATAAAAAGGGAGTGGGGGGAGAAGGGAACAGAAGAGTTCTTACTCAGTTTCATCATTGGTACATAAGACCATTACATTTTTCGTAAACAACATTTTTCCCTCAGTAAAATTGCTGAAAACAAATGTGAAAAAAACAACCAGAGAGGAAGCTTATATTAAAGGTTGCAGAACAAGCGATGGCCCTTAAGCATACTCTGAACTCTGCTGAAACGTTTAAATTGTCTTTGTAGCTGAATTTCTGAACCTTTGATTTTTCCACTCCTCACCACTTATTTGTGGGTGCTTTATTGTTGAACTTTATTTCTGGAAATTTTGTTTGAAGACAAGTAGAACCTGCAAGTGTCAGTGACTCATTTTGCTCCTGCCTGTTGTATGACAAGGCATTTCAACATAATCTCTTCATTCACCCCAGTTATCTCTTGCCTATCTGAAATCCCTCTTTAATTTATATCAAACTCCTGCTTATGAAGGTTCCTGACTTTTAGTGATCACCTGTATGTCCCAGAAAATCAGAAGAGTAACCAAAGTGCAACCTTCCAACCAGGAAGTAGAAGAAGGTAGTAAGGAGATTTATTCTGTGCCATGGCTTGTGCCAGTTAGAAGGGACCTCAGATGACAAACTGAGGATGATGCTCTGGGTGGTAGACCAGGAGATGTGAGGTTAATGATCCTTGGAAGAATGGAACCCTATACATACTAAAAGGTTGCATTGGTTGAAGGTCGGCCCTGAGAGGAAGAGATTATTAAAATCCAGTGAAACACAGAACACTGGAAACACGTGTCTGAAACAGAATGCCACGAATAGCAGAGGACTGACTGCTGGTTTTAACCAGGCTCTATAGCAGGGGTGGCCAACCTGAGCCTGAGAAGGAGCCAGAATTTACCAATGTACATTGCCAAAGAACCACAGTAATATGTCAGCAGTCCCCCATCCGCTCCCCCTCCCTGCGCCTCCCACCCACTGGCAGCCCTGCCAATCAGTGCCTCCCCCTCCCTTCCTGCACATCCCACCCACCAGCAGCCCTGCCAATCAGTGCCTCCCCCTCCCTCCCCGCACCTCCGGATCAACTGTTTCGTGGCATGCAGGAGACTCTGGGGGGAGGGGGAAGCAACGACGGCACAGTAGGCTCAGGGAAAGGGGGAGGGAAGGGGTGAAGGGGGGCAGGGTCTGTGGCAGAGCCAGGGGTTGAGCAGTAAGCACCCCCTGGCACATTGGAAATTTGGTGCCTGTAGCTCTAGCCCTGGAGTCGGTGCCTATGCAAAGTGCCGGAGATTAACTTCTGAAGAGCCGCATGTGGCTCCGGAGCCACAGGTAGGCCATCCCTGCTCTATAGGAACATCATGTTTAACTATGTGGATTCCAGATTGGAAGGAAATCAGAGGAGCTACAGAGCAAGATAAATCTCTAATTTCACCAAGTAATGCTATGAAAAATCTAATGGAAAGTGTCTTGGCTAAACTAGATCTAGTTGAAGGTAGTTTAAAATAAACAAGCTTCTTTATTACAGGTGGACACAAAAACCACTGAAAAAGTATTTGTGCTGGTGATGAAACAAAATGAAAATATTGTCTTTGCAAACTATGACAACTGCACTGGTGCATTGTAATGTTGTCTTATTGACAGGGCCAGGCTTAGGAGGGGCAGAGAGAAGATTCTTTAGGCCTTGGGTCATCCAAATTAAAAGATTCATTTACCGTAAAGACAGGGGAAGAGGATCTTCAGGGGGCTACCAGCCTCCTCCATTCCAGAAGAAGTGGAGTTCAGCAGTTAATGCTGGAGTCCATGCATTGGGGGCAATGTTTGAAAAAAATTCAAATGATAATTCTCCAAAGTAGCCAAAGGTCTTCAGGAGCAACTAGGCTCCCAGAGGCCACAGCAGTATTTTTAAAATATTTTTTCTCATTATGCAATGACAGAATTCAGAGTAGCCAGTACAATAATATACAGACAGTAAGTGCTCAAATACCAAGCCATCCCATTGCTTTCTACAAAAACTGAAGATATGGGACATCTGCCAATGGAATAAAGCAATAAAATATCAGAACATAAAAACACTAAATAAAACTTACTAACCCAAAAAGTCTTTTATTGCTGTTTTCCCTTCTTTCATTTAATCATTTTTCTCTTTCCATCTCCAAATCATTCTATTCCCCTTTCTTTTTTCTCCTATTGTTTTCTCTTTTATAATCCTGTCTCCTTACTCTTCTCTTGTTCTTTATATGAAAAGCTATATCTGTTTTCTCCTCAGTCATTTATTCTCTTCCACTCTACATTGCCTCTTCTTGCTGCCCTTAGTCCATTTTTTCTGATCCATTTCCCCCCCATTATCTTCCCTCTGCTCTCCCCTGTATTCCAGTATCTGTCCCCTGCCTCTCTCAGAAACTTCATCTCTCATCCTCTTTCAAGCTGCACAGGGACCTCATATCGTTTTTCCTCTTCCTCTTCCTTAGCTCTATGAGGTCTACACTACTGCATCTTCTCCTTCATTAAGGTCCTGTTTTTCTCTCCCCATGATTGATTTCTCTCTCCTCCCTCAGTGAGGTGCACCTTTCTCTCCCACTCTAACATGCTGTTCTCTTAGGCCTAGTCTACACTAAAAAGTTAAGTCAACCCCTGAGCAGTGTAGTTAAGCTGACCTAACCCCTGGTGTAGACAGCGCTAGGTCAACCTAGCTACTGACTCCTGGGTGAGTGGATTACCTACACCAATGGGAGATCCCCACCTGTCAGCAAAGGTAGTGTCTATACAGAAGTGCTACAGCGGCACAACTGATTTTTAGGAAAAACCACTCTGATAAAAACTTTCAAACCTAGTAAACAGTTTACATTTTGGAAGATTTCTCCACAACAAAATGGCCAGAGATTTAATCTCAGTTTTCATTTAAGCAAAATTAACTCTAACATTGTAAGGTTCTTTACCACTTACCTTATGTTGTCATTAGTTATTGGTATATGAATCAAGTCCAATAATGAGGTTCCACCACCTAGTTCCCAAAAATGTGCAATGTCTTTTGGCTGCAAAACAGTTTCTTAGCATTAGAAATTTATATTTCCATGTAACACCATCAGAAGTTTCCAATTGTTGTAACAATGGCAACAGACAGGTCCCTTATGTGCAATGAGTACAGTACAAGAGCACAGCATAGCACATGAGGTGTGTCCCATAAGTGATGTGGCAAATTAGAAGTTAATTATGTGGCCCCAATCTCTTAGGGCTTGTCTATCGAGGGAGTTAGTGTGGAGTAGCTACTTGACTTTAAATTCACATCCTAGCTTATTCCGTCCTAACTTCCCATATAGACAAGTCCCTATTTATGCAGCATAGATATCCTGCCCCCCCAACCAAAACTTTCTTTCCTCCCTGCCATGCCCAGTTTTCTTCTCCCTCCCCTCCCTACTACTTTAAGCACATAAAGACCAGAGTGGCATGGAAGGATCAAAGACAGCTGAACACCTTAGGTGGTGAATAGGAGGAGATGTGTACACCTGTGTGAGGAGGAAATTGAATGGTTAGAAGCACATAGGACTTTTAAGCACATAAAACCTGATTCCCTGTTGCCCTTGTACCATGCACATTCATTTACACCAGTCTCAAGTAAGTATAAAATGACTTTAAAACACTATAGGAGTGATTTAAACCCACTTTGTATGGTGAAAATAACTAAAAATACACTTCAATGGAGAATCAAGTCTATAAGGTGCCTTAACATTTCAAAGAGGGTCCTGAATTCCTTAGTCCCCACTCCCATGACCTGTGTTCCCTCTAAGCTGCACAGTCGGGCAGCCGCCCAGGAGTTATTCAAGTGCTACGCACTTGGTTAGCAGAGCCACGCACATCCGGCAGCGTGTGTTCAGGTGCCCCGCCCCTCACTGGCTGTGCAGAACGGGGTATGTGTGCTCTGATGTCAGGGTGTCTCCCTCCCCCTATGTATCCCATCTACGCAGAGCAGGGGAGTGGGGATAGAGCTCAGGAGCAGGAGAGCTGCTGTGGTCTGAATGAGCCTTCTGGGGTTGAGTGAGTGCGTTAAAGAGACAGTGCAGTGTCTCTTAGAGACTTCCCCAGCAGCCAGCACACACACAGAGACAGTCTCTCTCTCTCTCTCTCTCACACACACACTCACAGTCTCTGTGTGTCACACACATACAGTCTTTCACACTCACCTCCCAACACATACTTGTATTAATGTTGTTGTTGTTATTTCTTGGAACTTCCTGCAATGCACATATATTCTCTGTAAATTTTATTCTTTCAAAGTGTGTTATTTTAGTTTTTGACTGGTCTATGCATTTCATAATTTTTATTTCTCTTACACTTAAATTTAATTCTTTGAGCAGTGAGTTCTAAAATGCCTAACCTGTCTGGCTGGAGTAATTAACCCTATGGTAACTTTTTAAAAATATATATTATATCTAGGCTTTTTGTTTCTACTGGTGGCACACATCGGCACATTACCTTGGTGCACATAACAAAATGTATTCCACACATGGACGGAAAAAATTAGAGGGTACATTGGCCACAACAGCAACTAGCTACCCCATTGTCCCACTATCTGTCAATCTGTCATGCAATAAAGGACAAGCACATTAGCTCAGTGTTTCTGCTAAAACAATCAGCATGAAATAGTTAACATCCTTGATACTTGAACTATCATTAGATTTCAGCGTTGACACCCACCAAGACTGATAGAACAGTTCATACTTCCCCCCTGGTTATGGCTGCAGGCTGACCATAGTCAGATACCACTACATTGGTTTAAATTCAGTTCACATTTTTAAGATTACCTTTAGAACCATGAGGACAAAGTTGTTGTTGGAGGTGTTTGTTTTGTTTTGTTTTTTGTTAAATTTGAGGACTTCAAGGAGCAGAGAATCCTCCTGCAAGTGACCCGTGCCCCATACTGCAGAGGAAGGTGAAAAACCCCCAGGGCCTCTGCCAATCTGCCCTGGAGGAAAATTCCTTCCCGACCCCAAATATGGCGATCAGCTAAACCCTAAGCATGTGGGCAAGACTCACCAGCCAGACACCCAGGAAAGAATTCTCTGTCGTAACTCAGATCCCACCCCATCTAACATCCCATCACAGGCCATTGGGCATATCTACTGCTAATAGTTGAAGATCACTTGCCAAAATTAGGCTATCCCATCATATTATCCCTTCCATAAACTTATCAAGCTTAGTCTTGAAGCCAGATAGGTCTTTTGCCCCCACTGCTTCCCTTGGAAGGCTGTTCCAGAACTTCACTCCTCTGATGGTTAGAAACCTGCATCTAATTTCAAGTCTAAACTTCCTGATGGCCACTTTATATCCATTTGTTCTTGTGTCCACATTGGTACTGAGCTTAAATAATTCTTCGCCCTCCATGGTATTTATCCCTCTGATATATTTATAGAGAGCAATCATATCTCCCCTCAGCCTTCTTTTGGTTAGGCTAAAACAAGCCAAACTCCTTGAGTCTACTTTCATAAGACAGGTTTTTCCCTTCCTCGGATCATCCTAGTAGCCCTTCTCTGTACCTGTTCCAGTTTGAATTCATCTTTCTTAAACATGGGAGACCAGAACTGCACACAATATTCCAGATGAGGTCTCACCAGTGCTTTGTATAATGGTACTAACACCTCCTTATCTCTACTGGAAATACCTTGCCTGATGCATCCCAAGACTGAATTAATTTTTTTCACAGCCATATCACATTGGCAGCTCATAGTCATCCTGTGATTAACCAATACTCCGAGGTCCTTCTCCTCCTCTGTTACTTCCAAGTGATGCGTCCCCAGGTTATAACAAAAATTCTTGTTATCAATCCCTAAATGCATGACCTTGCACTTTTCACTATTACATTTCAGCCTATTACTATTACTCCAGTTTAAAAGGTCATCCAGATCTTCCTGTATGATATCCCGGTCCTTCTCTGTATTGGCAATACCTCCCAGCTTTGTGTCACCTGCAAACTTTATTAGCACATTCCCGCTTTTTGTGCCACGGTCAGTAATAAAAAGATTAAATAAGATTGGTCCCAAAACCAATCCCTGAGGAACTACACTAGTAACCTCCTTCCAGCCTGACAGTTCACCTTTCTGTGTGACCCGTTGTAGTCTCCCCTTTAACCAGTTCCTTATCCACATTTCAATTTTCATATTGATCCACATCTACATGCAAAATGAAAGCTAGCCAAGCATTCTGAAAATGGAAGTAAATTGAATAAAATTCAAACTGAAATACTTTCTGTCTCGCAGATGATTGTTGAGTTAAAAGAGAAAGTCACTACTTAGGTTTTACTAACGAATGAGTGATACAACAAATATATTATAGTACTTTTGCCATGTACTCACTCTGTTATGACCTTTTGCTCTTCTTCCAAAAGTATATTCCAAGGCTAACGTTGGTTTTGGAATTTCATCCCTATCCAATGAAGATACAGTATATGTCACCTGCGTATATTCTTTCAAGATCTTCTGAATTTAATTCACATACAATAACTTTTACTATTACCTCAACTCAATTTATTAACCAAACAGTAGAGAATTTATATTGAGAAAACAGGAACATAAAGAGAACAACTCAAGACAGACAGACAGTTCCTTAATGGATATCAAAAGGACACAGAGGACCAAATTTTCAAAACTGTGCACACGCATACTGTGACTGAGCACTCAAACTACCAGTGACAGCACTCTAGAAATCTGGCTCCAAATGCCAAAATGTTTTACTAACACATTATAGATATTTAGATATCATTAACCCTTCACAAATCATGCATCAGGTCATTAGCGAGAAAATTTAATCTACTTGCCATCCATAATTTTACACAATGATTTTGTTTTACTGGAACATAATATTCTCTGTAAGACGACAAAAAAAATATTGTTGATATTACTCCCAGAGATGCAAAATACTTTTCAAAATTTAACACATACCTGTCAAGACACCTCAATATAATAGTAGTCTTTCCCTGGAAATTAAAAACAATGAAGAAGACTATTGTAATGTCATTAAAGCATAAAAGTTATATAATTGTATATAATGTAATGCTTTATTATTGGAATGATTAAAAGAATGCATCTGAAAACTGTAAACTTATGCAGTCATTTGTAGTCTGATTACTAGAAAGTTAAGTGCCTACTTTCTATCAGAATGTAGCTACACTGCTATTAATATAATTATAATAAATTGCTGGATATGACAAACACAGTAATACCAACAGGATACCTAAAATCAGACAATACATTAGTGATCAGTCTGGCCAACTGTATTAAACTGTTTAACTGTTGTTAATTGCTAATAACAAGTTAATCTAATGATTGGTTTCCAGTGAATATGTGTAAATCATAATTGAGATAGAAGTAAAAAGAATGCATTAAATAACACAGTAAAACGGCATGTTTCTGCACTATTCGGATTCAGATTCCAAGTTAGGTCAGTCTAATTTTAAAAAGGTCCTAGCACTTGTAAAGTTTCTTCCCTATTTGTAATCACACATTGGAATTTCAGAAACCATTTTTTTATAAATCTGCAAAACCCATTTATCTATTCTTAATGCTTATAGAAGATTACATGTTGCAATGCCATGCTTCTCCGCAGTAATAGTGAAACACTTACATATATGCTTCAATTCACTTACAAAGATAAAAAGGCAGGTTCTGACTTATTTACATTTACAACAAATAGTTATCAAGAAAAAAGTGGGGAGAGAGAGGAGAAGCCATTGAGTAAGCATAAGAGACAGTGGATCAATGTTATGAACTCCAGTATCCAGTCTAAGACTCTGATTCTCCAAACACTTATTTACATGCTTAAATTTATATCCCACTGGAGTCATAGAGACTACAAAAATGAATAAAATTAAACGTGGACATAAGTTTTATCAGGATCCCAGGGCCTATATAGTTTCACAAATTCCAGAAGGGGTGATTGTGAAAATTTAGTCTGGCCTCCCATATAACACAGGCCATGAAATGTCTCCAAAATAATTCTTAGAGCATATCTTTTAGAAAAAGATCCAATCTTGCTTTACAAATTGTTGGTGATGGAGAATCCACCACAACCCTTGGTAAATTGTTCCAATGGTTAATTACTCTCACTGTTAAAAAGGGACGCCTTATTTCCAGACTGAATTTGTCTAGCTTCAACTTTCAGCCATTGGACTGTATTATTCCTTTCTCTGCTAGATTGAAGAGCCTATTATTAAATATTTGTTCCACATATAAATACTTATAGACTGATCAAGTCACCCCTTAGCCTTCTCTTTGTTAAGCTAAATAAACTGAGTTTCCTGAGTCCATTACTGTAAGGCATGTTTTCTAATCCTTTTAATCATTCATTCTCTTGCCTCTTTTCTGAACCTTCCACAATTTATGAACATCCTTCTTGAATTATGGACACCAGAACTCAATATATTATTACAGCGGTGGTCACACCAGTGCCAAGTACAGAGAGGTAAAATAGTCTCTCTACTCTTACTCAAGATTGCCCTCTTCAGGCATCTAAAGATCGCATTAGGTCTTTTAGCCACAGCATCACACTGGCAGCCCATGTTCAGATGATTATCCACCATAACCCCCAAATCTTTTTCAAATTTACTGCTTCCCAGGATAGAGCCCCAATCCCATAAGTATGGCCTACATGCTTTATTCTTAGATGTGTACCTTTAGCTGTATTGAAACATACATTGTTTGCTTGTGCCCAGCTTCCAAGTGACCCAGATCACTCTGTATAAGTGAACGTTCCTCTTCATTATTTACCACTTCCCCAATTTTTATGTGATCTGCAAACTTTATCAGGGATGATTTTGTGTCTTTTTCCAGGTCACTAATAAAAATGTTTAATAGTGTAGGGATCAAAAACTGATCCCTGCAGGACCCCACTGGAAACACACCTGATCAACAATGATTTCCCATTTACAATTACATTTTGAGATCCACCAGTTAGTCAGTTTGTTATCCATTTAAGGTGTGCCATATTAATTTTATATCTTTCTAGTTTTTTAAACAAAATGTCATGAGGTATCAAGTCATATGCCTTACATAAGTCTAAGTATACTACATCATCACTGTTACCTTTATCAAACTTGTAATCTCATCCAAAAAAACAAACCAAATTTGTAATCTCATCCAAAAAAAAAAATCATCAAGTTAGTTTGACAGGATCTATTTTCCATAAACCCTTGTTGATTGGTATTAATTATATTACCCTCCTTTAATTCTTTATTAATTGAGTCCCATATCAGTCACTCCATTATCTTGCCCAGGGTCGATATCAGACTGACAGGCTTATAATTATTGGGCATCCCATTTACCCTTTAAAATATTGTATAGCAAAGGGGCGTGGCCTCCCTCTGGGCCTGACGGGGAGGAACCACAACCCAGTCCCTGGGGGCAGAGCCAGATAAGCCATTCCCACCCTGTCGGAAGCAGAGAGGTGGGACAGGAAGTTTAAAAGGCGGGCCCTGCAGCTCAGTGGGGCTGGAGCCTGCAAAGGAGACAGACGCTTCCTGCCCACTGCTGGGGCCTGCAGCCAAGAGGGATCTCTGGAGCACCGAGGACTCCAAGGGACTGCCAACCGATAAGGATGCTGAAGAGCTACTTTGATTGGCGCTGGCAATGTACCCTGGGAAGATGGAGGAACCCCACGAGATGAAGGTATATGGTGAGGATTTTGTAGGAAGTAGCCCAAGGAAACCAGACAGTAGTCTGGTTGTGGAGCCCTCTGCCACTGACAGGGCCCTGGGGTGGGACCTAGTGAAGTAGAGTGGGCCTGAGTCCTCCTACCCTCCTATGGCCATCCCACCCCTGGGGTGACTAACTACCCACCTTGGGCCAAGAGGTCTGCATTTGTCTGTCATCTGCCTGAGTCAGGACATCAGGTGTTAGACTGCTTGGCACTCCACCGTGCCTGAGGGCCTGAGCCCCTAGGCTGCTAATTCCCCTTTAAGGCTGCCTTATAGAAATGTGGAAGCAATGATCTCCCCCTGGGCCTGATGGGGAAGGATGGACACGGGCTTCTACATACTGGCACACCATTAGCTTTCTTCCAGTCTTCTAGGACTTCCCCAGTGTTCAAAGACTTATTGAAAAGCAGCATTAATGGCCCAGTGACCTCAGCCAGTTCTTTTAACTACATAATCTACATAACTACATAATCTGTCTTTTCCCAAATACAGAACAAAAATATTTATTGAACACTTTTGCCTTTTTTCCATTATTATTTATAATTCTACCATTTCCATTGAGTAATGGACCAATACCTTTGTTAGGATTCTTTTTATTCCTAGTATACTTAAAAAACTCCTTATTGTCCTTAACTATGCCGGCCATAGATTTTTTTCCATACATCCCTTTGCTTCTCGTATCAATTTTCCTCAAGTCCTAGCTTCTGATTTATATTCATTACTATCAACTTCCCCTTTCTTCCATTTGTTTTTACAATTTTTATAGCTACCTTCTCTTTCCCTCTAAACCCAGGTTGTTTTTTTAACTAATGTAGCCTTTCTTGACTGTAGCTTTTGGGGCACATAGGAATGTGTTCTTAAACAATTCCCAATTATCTTTCACATTTTTCGGATTAAGTTCTCCTGGCTGATTTGGCTCATGATTGTTTCTGGCTTTGTGAAATTGGCCCTTTTAAAGCTCTATGTATATATTATTGGTCTGGACTTTATTGCACATTATAAATGTGATCAAGTCATGATTACTTGTACCTAAGTTACCATTAATTTTTTAGTGCTGTGATCCGTTCCTCTTTATCTGACAAGATGAAGAGCAACATAGAATTCCACTATGTTGGATGCAACACTTTTTGAGTTATAATACTGATTACCAATGCAACGGAGTTAGACTTTTACTAATTAACATGGTGTGTTCAATAAAACCTTTGCATGAATGTGTTATATGACCAGATTTCAGGAGCTAAAAAGTAGGACTGTATTTCTGTCTGCTGTTTTTTGGTTTGTTTGTTTTTTTAAATGAAACTACACCTGCTATGTTAATTAACTGATGAAGAAGAATGGTTGAAGTCTGGCTTATTTCTAGCACAAAAGTGAGCTTCTGACAGAACAAAAAGGCATAGAACAGATACTTCTGGGGGAATTCTGTGCCACTGCGTGTGCGCAGAATTCATGGCCCCCGCAGATTTCTTTGCTTTCCCACAGAAAAATGACTTTCTGACACGGAAGCAAAGGGAAGCTGCAAGAGCAGTCATGCACCACTCCCTAGAAGAGCAGATACATTATTTCAGGCACCCGGAGCAGCTGGCAGAGATAAATCACCCCGAGGCTGGGGACACCAAAGCCAGTGGCTCCTACCCTGAGCTGGTATCACCTTCTAGTCCCGGCTGGGCTGTGGCAGGAGAGAACAGGCCTTTTCCCCTGTAAGGAGTGTCTGGGGCTTTGTCAGACTCACCCCCAGAAACCTCCCCCAGGAATCTCAGCATCCTCCCCTGCTTCCTGCCCCCATCGCTTCTCAACTGTGCGGATCAGGGTCACTGTACTGAGAGCTGCTCCCCTATCCACCCAACTCCTGTGCATCCGGACCTCCATTACCCAGACACAGCTGCCAAGCCACACCGGGTACATTCAGAACCCCCCTATCCCTCCATACTCGAACCCCACCCCACTGCACCTCAACCCCTGCATCTAGGTGCTGGAGGAGTGGGGCACACGGCACCTAGAGCCCCTGCCTCTGGACCCCTGCACCCAGACCACCCCCTGAGCTTCCTACACTCAACCCTCCACCGATGCCCCACCCCCTGCACAACCCTGAGCCCCCACATCCAGACTCCCACACCACTAGCTCCCAACTACCTGCACCCAGACCTCCACCCCACCAAGCCCCACTCCTCCAGCACCCAGACCCCTCCCCACTGAGCCTCCCACAATCAGACCCCTCCACTGAGCCCCAACCACCTTCACCTGGAAGCCCCTACAGAGTCCCATTGCCCCTGCACGTGGAACCCCCCAATGAGTCTCTGTGCATCCAGATCCCCCCCACACCTAGACCCCCCACTGAGCTGCCTGCACCCAGATTGTATCACACAGAATCTTCTCACCACACACCTGTGTTAGGATATGGATATTCAGGTCTGTCTGTAAAGGCCTATACTCTAAGAATTTAGGTGTATTCTTATCGCTTGGCTAGTTATAGAGGTATAAAAGAAAGAATCAAAATCACTGTCTGCCGGTGTAAGGGCCTTCTCTTACTGTGACAGTTTGTGGCCCTGTGCTTAGGCTCAGGCCTTTGGCTAAGCAGCAGAGGCAGCCATAAGCTGGGAAGCGAACGGTCACATCCTCACATTCCAAACTAGTCACACTGAAATAAGGTGCTATTGGGCTGTTAGGCACTATCAGGACAGGACTCTATTCCTATCACCTCCAGAGAAAGGGAAGTGCCTAGAAAATGTAAAAGGAAACTTAGTTTGATAGCATCCTGTCTGGCAAGAACTCACTTATCAATACTGGGATGTGAAATCCTCACTTCTGTATTGTTTTGTCATTATAGTACCCACTTTGCTATTGTTTGTCTGTATAATCTCTGTCTGGTTCTGTGATTGTTCCCGTCTGCTGTATAATTAATTTTGCTGGGTGTAAACTAATTAAGGTGGTGAGATATAATTGGTTACATAATCATGTTACAATATGTTAGGATTGGTTAGTTAAATTTCAGGAAAATGATTGGTTAAGGTATAGCTAAGCGGAACTCAAGTTTTACTATATAATCTGTAGTCAATGAGGAAGTGAGGGGGTGTGGGTGTGGGGGGAGTGGGTGTGGGTGTGGGAGATGGGAACAGGGAATGGGGGTAAGGAAATTGCAATCATGTTTTGCTAAAGGGGGAAATGGGAACAGGGAATGGGAGTAAGGAAGTTGGAATCATGTTTGGCTAAGGGTAGGAATGGGAACAAGGACACAGGTGTAAGGCTCTGTGGTGTCAGAGCTGGAAAGGAGGATACTAAGGAAGGAAACTGGAATCATGCTTGCTGGAAGTTCACCCCAATAAACATCGAATTGTTTGCACCTTTGGACTTCGGGTATTGTTGCTCTCTGTTCATGCGAGAAGGACCAGGGAAGTAAGTGGGTGAAGGAATAAGCCCCCTAACAACCTGGATCCCCCTAAGCTGAGCCCCTCCACACTTGGATCCTGCGTGGTTGAGCTGTCTGCCCCAGACCTAGTGCAGAGGGGCAGGGACCGAGGGTGCTTCTGGGGAAAGCCCAGGCCTTGTGCTGTGTCAGGGTCGGGTGCAGCCTCACCGCCAAGTCATGTCCCGGGAGTTGGGAGGCTGCAGGGTGATCTCCCACCTTCCACAAGTCAGTGGCCTGTGCTCCCCCCTGCCATGCTGGAGCCTCTGCATTTATTTATTGACAAATATAACTTGCAGAATTTTAAAATATTGTGCACAGAATTTGAAATTTTTTGGTGCAGAATGCCCTCAGGAGTAAATAGTATGAACATTTCTAATTGTTCTGCACATGAACGCCAGCCCTCTGCACAGATTCATATTGGGGAAGATTTCTTGTTTCTGAAATGGATATGGTATTGCATATACTCTTCAGATGTTTTCAGTGGGATACAATCTTTTCAAGGAAAGCACAGTAATCACGTAAAATAAAGCATAATATCAGTGTTACCCCATTTTTGTTTCCCATAAAGAGTAGTGATTTTTCCCAAACTTCCACTCCATCTCCATTGCCTTCAAGATTTTCTTTTTTCTCCACTTCAGCTTTAGCAATATCCCACAGAGTATCACTAATAGAGAAAACAAAATAAGATGTCTTCATAGAACCTATACATATTTCCCACTAAGGTTTGAAAGGACAAGTGAAGATTTTGAATAATACATTCCCTCTGCATATTAATACATCCTTGATCAGAACTAGTTATGCTTCAGTATGGAACCTCCCCTTAGAAATCACAAATAAATCTGTGGACCAGAGACGCATGATAGCAAATTCTAGACCTCCAAAATCTCATACTTTTAGGAGATAAATTTTCTCATTTTGGAAGCAATTTTAAGACAGTTTAATAGCAAAATCTTTAATTGTCAGAGAAACAACCTATGTGTTCCAATGCAACATGTACCATTTCACTAATGTTTTGTAACGTCCAATGTCAGTAGTAAGTGCACGAAGGGTATGTCTGTCAAGCACAAGTTGTGCACACCCAGTGGGCCAGCCTATATTCGACCCTGGTTCTGAGGCCCACCAGGGACGTCAGCTGGCGGATCCTTCACGGAGCCGTGAGCACGGGCGTGTACTTGGTGCGGTTCATTCCCCTCCTAGACCCCTGCCCCTTTTGCGGCGTGAGGGAGACCCTGGTGCACGTGTAACTGGAGTGCGCCAGGTTACAGCTCCTATTCCGGCTCCTCTTGGATATACTATTACATTTTTGGTTGCACTTTTCCCCTCACCTTCTCATCTATGCACTCCCTATCCATGGCCCCACGAAGTCGTGGGACCTCCTTGTCAGCCTCCTTCTAGCCCTGGCCAAAATGGCCATCTACAAAACCAGGGAGAGGAGGTTAGTCGACGGGGTTTCCTGCAACTGTGGGGCCTATTTCCGTTCCTCAATCCGTTCACGCATCCAGGCAGAGTTTCTCTGGGCAGCGTCCGCTGGCTCCCTTGTCACCTCCGAGGGCACTGTCCGGGGTTCTCTGCTCGGTGTCCCCGTCTAGTTCCCTTCGTTTAGCCCTGTGACCACACTCCCGTTCCTGTTATCGCCTTAGTTTTCCCACGCACTTATTTGGTATCCCGGACCTGTGGATCCTCCCCTTAGGCTGGGGGGAGGTCCTTTAGCAGTGGGTCGGCAGAAACTTCCTGGACCCCCGTCCACTTCCTGGATCCCAACAGGACAAGTTGTGCACAGGCCCGTCTACCCACGCTAGCTTGAATCAAGCTAATGTAACAACAGCAGTGAAGACAGTGCAACATAGGCAGTATAAGCCCAAGTTTGCTAGCCCACTCTGAAGCCTGTGCTGCACAGTCAGCTCCCTGCACTAGCTGGATTCAAGGTAGCTCAAGAAAGCTAGCCTGGTCACAGCTGTGCAGACATATCCCTACACTAAGTAATTGAAGACACTTCCAAAAGCAACTGTGGCAGTCTGTCTACATATAATGCTGAAGTTTGGGTTTCCTCAAAGTCCTCCAGGTGTTCCAGCAGCTCCTACCACAAAGTATGAAGTCTGGGGTCAGGGCACTTCCCCATTGGGCCTTTACATGGAAGCTGGCCGCACAGGGTGATGATGGTGACCTTAACATCTGTGAAAGGCTCACGGGCCTACATTTTCAAAAGATTAACGATTTCTGAGGGTCTGTCCTAAACTGCCCTAAAGCAGCCTGCGTTTCAGGAAGTGCTGAGTACCCGTCCCACGCCGGGACCCCCACGCTGTTCGCTTTGAAAATGTGGGCCGTGAGGGCAGAGCCTCTTCACTCGGATTTCACTGGCCCGCTGTGTCTTCCTGAGCCTGCTGGCGGAGAAAACAAGCTCCCAGAAGCCTCCCTCCATCCCACCGCTGTCACAGCCCCTCTCGCCGGACGGGAGGGGCCCGGCGGCGGCTCCATCTCTGTACCTGCAAAGCACCAACCTGCCCGGGGGGTGCCAGCTGGGCGCCCAGAGGGGACGGGCGCAGAGGGGGTCTCCCTGCAACCAGCCCCCCACCCCGAGCGGTGCGAGCCTCCCGGCTCTGCCGCGGGCAGGAATAGCGCGGGGGGGAGGCTGGCGGCGAGGACCCAGCCCCTCACAGCGCGGGGCAGAAGGTGCTGGACGGAAGGGGAGGCAGCGGCTGAATGGATACAGAGGCGCCGAGCCCCCAGCCTGTACCGGGGGTCCTGGGGGGAGTAACGCGGCCGCCGCCGCCGCCTAGTTACCTGGGTTTGGGCATCGCTGCTCAGGGGCCGCCGGGGGTCTGGGGGCGCTCTGACCTCGGGCCCAACTCCTGGTCACCATGGGAACCACGCAGCTGCTGACACAGGACGCAGGAGCATCATGGGAGTTGTAGTTCGGGGGCGGTCGTTGCCTCCCTCAGCCCTATGGGGCCCCTCAGAGCCTGGGAATACGGGCAAGAGGCAACCCCCCGCTCTCTGACACACACGCTTCCCCTGCTTGAGTCCAGTCTCTCCCCAGCCCTGCCAATCAGTGTGGGGGCTGGACTGGGTTGGGAGCCCTTCCCTCTGGCTGCTGCAAAGAGGGTTGGTCTACATTAAAATTTAGGTCGACCTAGCTAAATTGCTCAGGGGGTGTGAAAAATGTCACACCACAGCTGGGCAGGATGATTAGGTCCACCTAACTCCTACCCTAGAGGCAGCTAGACAGACAGAAGAATTCTTCCATTGCTCTAGTTACTGCTTCTCCAGGGGCTGGATTTACTATAGCAATGGAAAAGCCCCGTCTGTAGCTGCAGTGTAGTGTAGCCATGCCCTGAAACACTCCCTTCATCTACCACACACATGTTGTTTCCCTTCCCTGTGTCTTTTTTCACATCTTCCTGACTCTTCATTTGTGTTTCTCCCTGGGAGCCAGGACTGCCCTAAACAACATCCTTGGAGACAGGGGTGATGTCATTTTAGCTACCAGAACAGCTGAGAGGCAGAAGAAGACAGACATCCAGGATTTACATTAAAGCAAGGATAACTGCTGTAGATCAAGGCCACTGTTTACTCTACTCCTGCTGTTGTCTTATTCAATAATCTTTATCTGAAATTTTTACTGAATAAAGTTAGCATTTTTAAATTTTACTTTTTCTGTTTTTAAAACATATTTTCACTGATTAGAAATGAGCTGCACCTGTTCCTCTTCCTCAAAGATTATGCAGCTCACTGAATAGTGCTTCTTAATTATTAGTAGTCTTTGACCCATCTGATCACTCAAGTATCTTGCTACTGTAAATACCCTCATTATCAACATAGAATAATCATAGATGACAGGTTGGAAGAGACCTCAGGAGGTCATCTAGTTCAACCCCCTGCTCAAAGCAGGACCAACCCCAACTAAATCATCTCAGCCAGGGCCTTGTCAAGCCAGGCCTTAAAAACCTCAAAGGATGGAGATTCCACCACCTCCCTAGGTAACCCATTCCAGTGCTTCACCACCCTCCTAGTGAAATAGTTTTTCTTAATATCCAACTTAGACCTCCCCCACTGCAACTTGAGACCATTGGTCCTTGTTCTGTCATCTGCCACCACTGAGAACAGCCTAGCTCCATCCTCTTTGGAACCACCCTTCAGGTAGTTGAAGGCTGCTATCAAATCCTCCCTCACTCTTCTCTTCTGCAGACTAAATAAGCCCAGTTCCCTCAGCCTCTCCTCATAAGTCACGTGCCCCCGCCCCTTAATAATTTTCATTACCATCCGCTGAACTCCCTCCAATTTGTCCACATCCCTTCTATAGTGGGGGGCCCCAAAACTGGACACAATACTCCAGATGATCAACATGGTCAAACTCTTCCTCTGTGTTTTGTTTTCACTGAAGATAGCACAGTGATACCAATCATATAAAAAACTTTACTTTCAGGGAAAATTTGACCCACATATCTATATCTATATCTATAAAAATTGGTAATGGAGCATAGAAAGTGTTTGCTGTCCAATGTCTCCTACCTGAATAATGACAGGTTTCAGAGGAACAGCCGTGTTAGTCTGTATTCGCAAAAGAAAAGGAGTACTTGTGGCACCTTAGAGACTAACGAATTTATTTGAGCATGAGCTTTCGTGAGCTACAGCTCACTTCATCAGATGTTTACCGTGGAAACTGCAGCAGACTTTATATACACACAGAGAATATGAAACAATACCTCCTCCCACCCCACTGTCCTGCTGGTAATAGCTTATCTAAAGTGATCAACAGGTGGGCCATTTCCAGCACAAATCCAGGTTTTCTCACCCTCCACCCCCCCACACAAATTCACTCTCCTGCTGGTGCTAGCCCATCCAAAGTGACAACTCTTTGCATAATCAAGTCGGGCTATTTCCTGCATAGATCAAGGTTTTCTCACATCCCCCCCACCCCCATACACACACAAACTCACTCTCCTGCTGGTAATAGCTCATCTAAACTGACCACTCTCCAAGTTTAAATCCAAGTTAAACCAGAACATCTGGGGGGGGGGGGTAGGAAAACAAGAAGAAACAGGCTACCTTGCATAATGACTTAGCCACTCCCAGTCTCTATTTAAGCCTAAATTAATAGTATCCAATTTGCAAATGAATTCCAATTCAGCAGTTTCTCGCTGGAGTCTGGATTTGAAGTTTTTTTGTTTGATGAAGTGAGCTGTAGCTCACGAAAGCTCATGCTCAAATAAATTGGTTAGTCTCTAAGGTGCCACAAGTACTCCTTTTCTTTTTGCGAATACAGACTAACACGGCTGTTCCTCTGAAACTTGTTTTAAGATAGCGACCTTCATGTCTGTGATTGCGTGACCAGAGAGATTGAAGTGTTCTCCGACTGGTTTATGAATGTTATAATTCTTGACATCTGATTTGTGTCCATTTATTCTTTTACGTAGAGACTGTCCAGTTTGACCGATGTACATGGCAGAGGGGCATTGCTGGCACATGATGGCATATATCACATTGGTGGATGTGCAGGTGAACGAGCCTCTGATAGTGTGGCTGATGTTATTAGGCCCTGTGATGGTGTCCCCTGAATAGATATGTGGGCACAATTGGCAACGGGCTTTGTTGCAAGGATAAGTTCCTGGGTTAGTGGTTCTGTTGTGTGGTATGTGGTTGTTGGTGAGTATTTGCTTCAGATTGGGGGCTGTCTGTAGGCAAGGACTGGCCTGTCTCCCAAGACTTGTGAGAGTGTTGGGTCATCCTTTAGGATAGGTTGTAGATCCTTAATAATGCGTTGGAGGGGTTTTAGTTGGGGGCTGAAGGTGACCGCTAGTGGCGTTCTGTTATTTTCTTTGTTAGGCCTGTCCTGTAGTAGGTAACTTCTGGGAACTCTTCTGGCTCTATCAATCTGTTTCTTTACTTCTGCAGGTGGGTATTGTAGTTGTAAGAAAGCTTGACAGAGATCTTGTAGGTGTTTGTCTCTGTCTGAGGGGTTGGAGCAAATGCGGTTGTATCGCAGAGCTTGGCTGTAGACGATGGATCGTGTGGTGTGGTCAGGGTGAAAGCTGGAGGCATGCAGGTAGGAATAGCGGTCAGTAGGTTTCCGGTATAGGGTGGTGTTTATGTGGCCATTGTTTATTAGCACTGTAGTGTCCAGGAAGTGGATCTCTTGTGTGGACTGGACCAGGCTGAGGTTGGTGGTGGGATGGAAATTGTTGAAATCGTGGTGGAATTCCTCAAGAGCTTCTTTTCCATGGGTCCAGATGATGAAGATGTCATCAATATAGCGCAAGTAGAGTAGGGGCTTTAGGGGACGAGAGCTGAGGAAGCGTTGTTCTAAATCAGCCATAAAAATGTTGGCATACTGTGGGGCCATGCGGGTACCCATAGCAGTGCCGCTGATCTGAAGGTATACATTGTCCCCAAATGTGAAATAGTTATGGGTAAGGACAAAGTCACAAAGTTCAGCCACCAGGTTAGCCGTGACATTATGGGGATAGTGTTCTTGACGGCTTGTAGTCCATCTTTGTGTGGAATGTTGGTGTAGAGGGCTTCTACATCCATAGTAGCCAGGATGGTGTTTTCAGGAAGATCACCGATGGATTGAAGTTTCCTCAGGAAGTCAGTGGTGTCTCGAAGGTAGCTGGGAGTGCTGGTAGCGTAGGGCCTGAGGAGGGAGTCTACATAGCCAGACAATCCTGCTGTCAGGGTGCCAATGCCTGAGATGATGGGGCGCCCAGGATTTCCAGGTTTATGGATCTTGGGTAGTAGATAGAATATCCCAGGTCGGGGTTCCAGGGGTGTGTCTGTGCGGATTTGATCTTGTGCTTTTTTTTTTATGCAAGGTAGCCTGTTTCTTCTTGTTTTTCCTACCCCCCCCCCCCCCCCAGATGTTCTGGTTTAACTTGGATTTAAACTTGGAGAGTGGTCAGTTTAGATGAGCTATTACCAGCAGGAGAGTGAGTTTGTGTGTGTATGGGGGTGGGGGGATGTGAGAAAACCTTGATCTATGCAGGAAATAGCCCGACTTGATTATGCAAAGAGTTGTCACTTTGGATGGGCTAGCACCAGCAGGAGAGTGAATTTGTGTGGGGGGTGGAGGGTGAGAAAACCTGGATTTGTGCTGGAAATGGCCCACCTGTTGATCACTTTAGATAAGCTATTACCAGCAGGACAGTGGGGTGGGAGGAGGTATTGTTTCATATTCTCTGTGTGTATATAAAGTCTGCTGCAGTTTCCACGGTAAACATCTGATGAAGTGAGCTGTAGCTCACGAAAGCTCATGCTCAAATAAATTCGTTAGTCTCTAAGGTGCCACAAGTACTCCTTTTCTTTCTACCTGAATAAGTAGATGATGCAATAATTTCTATGCTCAGTTTCACTTGGTTCACAAAAATCAGCTGCTATTGCTGTTGGTGATAGTAATAATCTGTCTGCAACTATAGTGTGAGACAGTTCAACACTGTGTAGCATTCAACAATTTTGGTTTTTTAGCCATTTATTCCTGTGAAGTTACTTCTTGTAAAAGGTTCTGAACTGGACAGCCCTGAAGACTGGAATTCTCTTTAAATAGAAAACTGGTTCCGCACAGGCAACATTGAGAATGAAAGCTTCCTGCCAGCAAGAGCAATGGTTTTTTTTCTTATGTGAATTAGTTAGACCACTAAATTCATGTCATACAGAGCACTGAATAGACACCAAATGATAGGAATTTTTGATCGCTATTAAACTGAACTGGCTTTGAACTGACAACTTGGAGGTGAAAGGTTCTCTGATTAGGCTGTTAGAAAAGTGTAGACCAAGAATTTAAAAACTAGTGTGATGAATGTCCAACTTGATATGCTTTATAGGGACTTGATCTTTAGAGGGGGATGCTGTGCATTTTCTGCAGATCAGTCCCCTTTGAGCTGTTTCAAGTTAGGCACCCAAAAACAGAAGCAGACAAAAATCACAAGTCACTTTTGAAAATCATGGCTATAATCCATGTTTCAGAAAAACAAAATAGTTAAACTGAAGAAAAGGGCAG